TAATATAATTTAACCAAGTTTTACTTTTACTATTTAGACGTCTGTCTAAACTCTTGATTTCGTCCAGCAACCTTAGTGAATGCTTTAAAATCTAATGCAACTTTAGACAAAGTGATCAATTCTTATTTACTAAAGAAGATAAAAGTTGTAAAAGTTGTAAATAAGAAGAAATAGAAATTAGAAAGAGAAAGATGAAATGAAAAGTAATAAATGAAGATATGATTATAGAATCAATGATCAAAAAAGAGTTGGCAAATTTTATAATTAGTAATTCTAATTAATATTGAAATTTAAAGAGAACAAGGCTATTTTTTTTTAAAAAAAAAATATTACTTAATATTTTCTATTAAATTGAATTATAACTATAATTCTATAATTCGGTAAATAATATTTTAGTTATCTTTAACTTCAAATTATTCTCAAAATCAATCTGATCTAACTTGTAATATACTGGCCTATAATAAATATTCAAATTTTCATCACGTGAAATTGCATTCTTGTGATACAATCGATGATTTTTCCTATTATACATATAAATAAAGGAGATAACAAAAATATTATTTTTCACTTTTTTTCTAATTCTCAATATGTGAAAATGAAGTTTCAAAAGCCAACTGTGAATGAATTATCAGACCATATCTTACTGGTACTAAACAAATAGTCATTTCTACTCAACTTAATATACCAACTAGTACTATAAGTGATATTATAAAAAAGTATAAAGAAACAAGTTCTACTGAACCTAAGCAATATCCTGAAAAACCAAAAAAACCCAAAGAACGTGATACCTGAACTTTAAAATATATTATACAAACTGATCAGTTATCTTCTCTAGGTGATGTGACTAGAGTTCTAAATGAGTCAAGTTGAGTGAGTTTTTGTCAAACTCAACTTGACTTGAAAAATCAAGTCGAGTCGAGTCAGATAAAAAAAATTTTTAAACCTTACTTGACTTAACTCAAGTTATTCATTCTGATTAAATGATAAATTATAGTTCTAAAAGAATGATAAAAATATTGTTCTAAAGGAATAATAAATAAAATTATTCTGATAAAATGATAATGCATCATTCTAAAGAAATGATAAAAAAAATCATTCTAATAGAACAGTATACTATAGTTCTATCAGAATGATTTTTTTATCATTCTTATAAAAAATGATGATTTATCATTCTATTGGAATGAAACTTCTATTGTTCTTTTAGTATTATGTATATTATTCTATTTGAACTATTTTTTTATACTTTCTTAAAAAAAATTTGTTAAATTTTTCAGCTCAACTTTGGGCTCGAGTTTTACTTGATTTTGAACTTGAATTTGTGCTTGAATTTTGCGCAACTTTAGGCTTGAGTTTAACTCGAGTTATCTCGAATCGAGTCAAGCTTAACTTGAAACTTAACTCAAGTTAAACAAGTCAAATTTTTTATGACTTGACTTGATACAACTCAACTTAACCCATTTGACTCAAAAGTTAGCTCAGCTTATTCAGAACACTAGATGTGACAGATAAGTTTAATATCAGTCTTAATACAACTTTACACTATAATACAGTTAGAAGTTACCTTCATGATGAAGGTTTTGGAAGTTACACTGCAAAAAAAAGCCTTATTTAACCAAAAAACATCAAACTGATTGCTTGAAATGATGCAAAGAAAAAAAAATTGGGTGGAGAAATGGAAACAAGTGGTATGGCCAGACAAGTCATGGTTCGTTCTTTTTCAATCAGATGGTTGAGCAAGAGTATGAAGAAGTCCTGAAGAAGCATATAATGAAGATTGTATTCAATCTACAGTTAAGTTAAGTTTGAAGGGGGATCAGTTAGAGGTTGGAACCGGTTTTATTTTCACAAACCGGTTTAAACACTTTTTTAATTTGAGACCCGAATTTAAACCGAAT